TTGTGTGATCGATTTCTGTGGTAGTTGGGAAGATTTCTTGCCATTAGCCGAGTTTGCTTACAATAATAGTTACCAGACAAGTATTCGTATGGCACCGTACGACGCTCTGTATGGACATAGATGTCATACTCCTATATGTTGGACAGAGTTGCATGATAGAAAAACTTTGGGTCTAGACTTGGTTTGAGAGATTGAAGATATTGTCAAACTGATCCGTGATCACTTAAAAGAGGCCTTTGATAGGTAGAAAGCATACACATATAAGCGGCGTAAGGATATCGAGTTTGAGGTTGGGAATTAAGTTTTTTTTAAGGTATCACCATGGAAGAAGGTATTGAGATTTAGACGTAAGGGTAAACTGAGTCCGAGATTTATTGGACCGTATCGTATTCTGAAGAAAGTTAGACCTGTTGCTTATCAGCTTGAGCTGCCTCCCCAGCTCAATCGTATTCATTATGTTTTTCATGTGTCTATGTTGAGGCGATACCGTCCAGATCCATATCACATCATTCAGGTTAATGAGGTAGAGTTGAGACATGAATTATCATATGAGGAGGAGCCTATTCAGATTTTAGAGAGGGATGACTGAGTTCTTCGGAATAGGCGTATTCCAAAGGTCAAAGTTCAGTGGAGTAATCGTGGCCCCTCAGAAGCTACTTGAGAGATATTGGAGTCAATGGAGGCTCAATTTCCTCATTTGTTTTCATAAGGTAAATTTCGAGAACGAAATTTCTTGTAGAGGGAGAAAATTGTAACAACCCGAAAATTTGAAAAAAAATATTTAATTAAGTAATTTGGCAAAATTTGAGGATTAAATTGAAAGTTTTTAAAAACTTGTAGACTGTTTTGGAATTAAAGGAAATTCAGGGACCAAGCCCTGAATTTACCCCTGGAGTGTCGGCATACACATATTATAAGCGTGAAATTCATTATGAAATCACAATGAATTTCATCAAATTTCCTCCCCCAACGGCTCTCCTTCCAAACACGATTCTGATGCCGTCCGACCTCCGATCATCGATTTGAAACCACCATCGTGTTCATCATCGAGCGAGGAACAAACCCCTTAAATTAATTGAAGTGAAACACTACCAAACGTCGTGAATTCAAGTCAAAGTCTCGACTTTTTTTAGCACCATCGTCGAGAAAATCCTAAATTCATCGCTGATCGTTGCTCCATTTTCGACACCTCCTGTACCATCGTGTTTCTTGTGCCGTTTCGAGTAGTTTTGTGAAGTATATCATCATTTACACAAATAATATAATAGTTCAAGGACATCACATCTATTGTTTAGCGAGTAAAATAAATATATTGTCGTAAGGGAATGTTCAAAGGAGGACACATACCTATCATATGTAACTGTCGATCGTAGAGTCTATCACCACATCACGCCGAATTATTTTTTTATAAAATCGTCAATTTTATTCATGTGGGGCATTGTTAAAAAAAGAGTGAATTTTATTGATGGATTTAATATTTAAATTAAATTCATATTCCTTTTGGCAATTGCAAATTAAAAAAAATATTTTTAATTTGAATATTAGTAGGATAATTATTCTTTGAATATGTCAAATTAAAAAGATATTTATTATCTATTTAAATTTGAATATTAAATATAATTACATACTTTTCAATATTTCAAATTAAAATAATATCTATTTAAGTTTGAATAGTTAAATGTGTCTATATATTTTGAATATTTCAAATTAAAGGATATTATTATATATTTAAATTTAAATATTAAAAGATATCTAATTGGGTTAGATCTTTATTAAAAATCCCCTATAAATACTAAGTTAACCTGTTAGGCTAAATACAAGTTTTTTGAACAATTTTGAACAAGTTTTCAGAAGTTTAAAAGTAAAAAAGTTCTTCTCCACTATTTTTCCGATACTTAACAAATGCAAGGATATTTTGTGATCTTTGTAGGTGTACTACTATAGCTAATCATTTAGTTGTTGTATCCAAAGAGACAAACGACCAACGAACTCGAGCACCGAAGAAGTGACTGAAAATATATCTTAAGAAGTTTAACTTCTTTGTTTTATTTTCTCAAGTTCGATTTTGTCTTAGATTGTTATTCAAAATAACAATCTTAAGATAGCGTAAACTTGTTCTTTCAGTTGATTTTGTAATGATATTTCAATCATTATTAATTTTTTATATTATTCTTTGATTAACACGATTTTTCTAACAATATAAACCATTTTTCACTGGTTGATATTATTTCAAAAATTATTTATTTTAAATATTGAATATAATAAATAATATTATTTATTAGAAAAATCAATATTATTATTTTTAGAATATTAAAATAATGTATTTAATATTATTTATGTCAATATCATCATTAAAATGTTATTTTTATAATTTTATAAATAAAATATTCAGAATATTATATTTTACTAATATAAAAATATTATAAATTATGTTAATTATTTATTAAAATAAGAGTATAAAACTATTAATTATTAAAATAATAATATTATTATAATATAATTAAAATATAATTAATTATATTATTATAATATTATAGTATTAAAAATATAATATTATATTATTAAAATTATTAATAAATATATGTTAATAATTAATATTGTTATTAAAATAATACTAAAATAATATATTAATATAAATACATAAAGTAATAGTATTATTTTGAGTGTATGCTTTAAGGTGAAAAGTTTGAAAAATAACTTATGAAATAATCAAATGGTAAATAATTTTTCAGAAAATACAAAAGAAATTTTGTTGACCATGGTTTTCATCAAGCAAATACTGAAAAATAAAGAACATATTTTTCGGAAAAACAAATATACCTTAGATTGATTCCATGCAGCTACTCTTTGATTTATTCTAAATATTAGATGATCATGTAGTATCATTGGATTGATATACATTAATTTTAAAAATTATTTATAATGAGCTCATTTAAAGTTATTTTTTTTATTGATATGATATAACATGTAGACATGACATATTAAAATTTAAGTCCATGTGAATTTTTCTAGTTAATAAGAAGCGTTTCGTTAATCAATTGATGATTTCCATCTAATTAAGATCTTTTTACCTGAAAATAAAATATTAGAGTCAAATTGATTTTTTTAAATAAGAATTAAAATAATCATATTATTAAACGTTAATGATTAATTGTATCATTATGCCTTAAAAATAAGGTAAATCACTTGTATGACTACTTAATTATTGTCCATTTCACTTTAATCACCGATATTTTAATTTTGCAGACCATTTAACTATTTAAATTTTTTAATCAAGTCACTTGTCGTTAACTTTTAATAGAGGAAGTGACATTACAATTAAAAATTTGGTATAGTTACATATTTGATCATTAATATTTATATATTCTATCAATTTGATTATGATTTTAATTTATTAATTTTATCTCTCGATTGTAAAATGTGTCATTACGCTTGAAGTTATTTTTTATTTTATTTTCTACTCACCTTATACCTAATAGAAGGTGACACGTGTGAATTAGAAAAAAAGGTTTAAAAAAAGAAAGCGAGGCAGGGTAAAATTAAAGCCAAGAATGGAAAGAGTTTTATAAGCACTAGAAACCATAAACCAAGCATCTTAATTAATAGAGATTTAAAACAGATTCTATATAACCTATACTAATATTGTCGTTTCAAAAACAGAGTATCATTTAATTCTTAAATTTTGCAGAAACTCACCCATGACGGCTAAACGGTGATGATAGTGATGGTGAGTTGAAGCTAAAGGCCAACGACGGTGAGAGGCGAGGTTGAGATCCAGAGAGAGCCGGTTGCGGCGGCAGTAAAAATGATGGGGGTGGTGGGGAAGTTGGTTTTAGCTTTGGAAACACCGAGGGAACGAACGGCGCCGTCGTAAGCGAGTGCAGCTTCTTCCAGTGTCTCAAATGTATCCAACCAAACCCCAATTTTCTTCCATGGGTGGCGTATTTCGGCGGCATATCTGCCCCATGGCCTCTTCCTTACTCCCCTATAGTGTCCTCTTAAAGACACCATGAGAGGGAAACAAAGAAATAATGAAGCTTTTGGTTATGGGATTGTTAGACTAACATAGAAAGAGAAACAGAAACTTGAAAGACTTGTGTGCTTTTGTTTAAACAGATTCTAATAAACCCTACGGGTGTTTTGACTGTTTTCTTCAATCCTTGATGAGTCTTATGCATATATTCATATATATTTTTAAAATATTTTGATATTTTTCATCTCTCATTTGATGAAGAATTGTTAGGCTTCTTAAGGAAATGGGGAATCTATGATGCTTTGAAGAGACTGCATATTTTGAGAGGTTTAATTTCATCAAGAAAATGGGAAACACAAGAAATCTAATAACTCTTAGAGGTTTGAAGAAGCGTTTTGGATTTTTAAGATTTTGTTTTATAATTTTGAAGGGTTTGATTGAATTTGTTTTGTTGATCCAAACAGAGAATTATATTAAATTAAATAAAAAATTTAAAAAAATCACCTTAATCATATGGTGACATGTGTCATTGTCTAATTGGAAGACTAAATTTATTAAATTAAATTAAAATCATGATCAAATTTAAAAATATATAAATATTAATGACCAAATATATGATTATTTGGAGTTTTATGACTTGACGTCATTTTCTTATGGTTAGTATCTAAATATTTAAATGGTTAGATGATTTGATTGATAAAAGTTAAAATATTAATGGTCAGAATGAAAAGAGGAAATAATTAAGTGGTAATACTAGTAGTTTATCCAAAACATATAACATAACTTGAGCTATTAGACGAGCTTTAATGCATTCGAAGACAAGTACCCTCTTCTTCTTCCCGACTTCCTTAACTAAAATCCCTTCAGACTCATATTCCACGTGTCATCCTTGTAGAGCGAGTACCGTACATTTTTCCCTATCCCCAAAAAAATTATAAAATTTAAAAAACTCATCTCTCTCCTTTATTTTAATATTTTTCTGTAATTTTTTTTCTTCTTTTAACGCCCGTTTCCATTATTTTGAAAGAAAAAAAACACGGAAGAAATGTATTTGTTCTTCAAAAAACCCCGACTCGGGTAAAAAACCCAGAAATGGAGCTCACCGATTCGAACGATTCAAAGTCCGAGACTCGTTCACCTCTCGGCATAGATCTAAACGAGATCCCTTCTTCTTCTTTTACCCAAACTCTACCCGAATCCGACGAACCCGATTCCTTTTCCATAGTTCGGGCTATCCACGAGAATCCCGACCCGGCTCTAGGCGAGGCCGCCGGTGTCCCCATAGGAAACGAGAGGGAGCATTGCGGTGTATGTGGCTTGTCGGCGGCGATGGCTGGAGGAGGAGGGGTGGTGGTTTGTGACGGCTGTGAGCGAGGGTTTCATCTTTCATGCTCCGGGGTTTCCGGGATGTTGTCTGCGGGGCAGGATTGGGTTTGTGCAGTGTGCGTTGGCCGCGGAGTAAGGACTCAGCGGTGGCCGCTTGGGTTCGAGGCCAAAAAACGTATTCTTGATATCAATGCTTCCCCGCCGAGTGATGGTGACGGGGAGGGTGATGAGATGAAGGGGTTAATGAGGTAAAACTTAAATCTTAATACTAGGAACAGGAGCTTAGTTTTTTTTTTTAGTTTTTAATTGACGCTTAGTAAGTCCTTTTAACCTGCATTAGTGCTAACTGTGTAGTTATGGCTTAAGAGCTGAATAAATTTGAAATGTGGTTCTTGGAGATGTTAGATATTGTATTGCTTGATTTACTTCTATTGTTCTTTAGCTTAACGACTTGAAATGTGTTTAATTTGGAGTTAGGATAAGTTTGTTAGGCATTTTTAAAAGCAAATAAGAGCAAAGTGGTTGAATATGATGAGGGCTAGTTGAAATGAATTGCATGTTGACCTGCAGATTGTTTGCATTCATGATGTAGTGTTGTGAACTGTTAGATGGGGTCAGGATGTTTAGATAGGCTGTGTCCATGACTCATTGTAGGGACTTCAATTTACTTGATAGTTTTGAAGCTGATCAATGTAGTTGAACTGGTTGGACATTATAGATTGTACTACTATTTCAGCCTTTTGGTTGCTTATGAGTTATACCTTCGTCCATTTGATTGTACTACTATTTTTCTTATGAATTTGTCCTGAAATTTGAAAAGATTACTAGCTGATGTCTGATCGTGTAAGGAGAATATAGCAATATTGTATTTTAACTAAGGATTTAAGATGATTAGTCCTCTTTTAAGAATTAAAAATTTTAGGAATTGAAATTAGAATGGGTTGCCATTGTACTCTAAACTGTGGTGCTTCTGGTACGCTATCATTTTTGTATTACTTGTTTAAATATTATTTTCCTTACACTTGTAAGCTGCTGCTTTGACACGTGAAGAGTTATGCTGGTCTCTTTTCGGTTGATTTTGATTATGCAAAGATGCATCGTTTCTGCCATATTGCTGTAGCTTTAGGGTTGTGACTATGTTGGAATTGTCTTGTTAGCAGATGCCATGACTTTCTCATGCAGTTTTAGTTCGGACAGTTGGAACTTAGAAAGTGCTACCAAAAGATAGTATTTTCTCTTTTCATCCAAAGCCTTCTTGTTGCTCATCAATTTCTATATATAAATTAGAATGTAGAATGTTTAACCCAAGCTTGTCGCAGCATTCTACTGCAATTAGTGTTTTCTTCTCTTTGAAATTGTGTCCCAATTGTCTTTATCAGTTTATTCCTGAGGTGCTCTAGTGGTGCCAATTTCAGCATTGTACTGTGTTTATATTTCATCTCTCTCTGGTATTGCTGCCCAATAGTCTTTAACCTGTTTATTCAAAAAGTGTTGTAGTGCTGCTAACTTCCTTAACATGCCTTTTCATATCTAGTTCTGTTTCTTGATTCATAGACTATGCTTCCATGTGGAAGTGTTATTATGCTACTTTGCTCCTTAGGAAATCACGTGTACTAGTTCTTATGTTTTGGATTGAGGAAACTCAGACCCTAAATGGATGATGAACTGTTTGGATTTATGGGATATTGTAATATTCATGTTTAATACATGCTTCCCATGCTATGAAAGTTGTGTAGTCAATTGTATGCTGCCTGCTCATTTATTTGCTAGTGAGTAGGTCCTATTCCTTTACGATTTCAATAATTTCTTACTTCCTTCAAGTCATCTTGTTTGTATAACTTTATTTATTTATTTATTTTAAATTTTAAAGATATTTAGAATTTTAAGCTTTTATATATGATCACTGGTTTAACATATGTCTTGGTTCCAGACAGCGCATGCCTGGTGACAATTCTTTTGTTGGCAATGGGTTAGGTGCCCCCTTGACACATATGCATTCCTTGTATGCGGGTAATGGATTTGGCTCTCAGAAAGCTCCTAGGATGTTGACGCATGCAGTTAAAATTGGTTTTGAAGATATTGTGCATCGTATACGAACTAGAGATAAAAGTTTTGATGAGGTAGATTTGGATTCTCCACTAAGGATGCTGAGGAATAGTAATAATACAACTATTAGATTTCCAACTCGGAATCCAAGTGATGTATTTTTGCAGGCTCTTAGAGAATATGTTTCGGAAAGACATGGGATCCTGGAGGAAGGTTGGCGCGTGGAACTAAAACATTCAATGAGTGGCTGTGATCTATATGCAGTTTATTGCGCTCCTGATGGGAAAACATTTGGCTCAGTGGCTGAGGTTGCTTCCTATCTTGGGTTGATGTCGAACTATAAACCTGTGGATGCTGAAATAAAACGTGAGGGGGCTTGTAATCAGGAAAGATTGCATATGCCAAGAAAACGGAAGTCAAGTAGGTTTTCATTTGCCAGTGGATTTCCTGAAAATAAGGGAAGTTGTGTAAGTGGACATTACAAGGAATTTCCTTGTGATTGTCAAACTGTGGAAAAGTTTGCCAATAGAACTTGTAGCTTGAAAGTCATTGAAGCTGTGCAAGATGATAAGAGATCTGAATCTGAACAAATTAATGTAAGCAGACTTGTTAATTTTAGCTTTTCTTAATGTCATTTCCTATCTTATCTTATTCTTATGCAGCTCATATCATTTATTTCAGATTGTTATGTTGTGTTTATGAAATTGAAGTGCTCGAGATTGAGTGTTCTGATTTTCTTCTTCTTCTTTATATCCCTCCAGGATGGGCTTCCTGTGCAGTTTGAAGATTTTTTTGTTCTTTCTTTGGGGCTTGTTGACACGAGACCTTCATACCACAATGCTACTTTGATCTTTCCTATAGGTTATAGGTCTTGTTGGCATGATAAGATCACTGGGTCCCTTTTTGTATGTGAAGTTTTTGATGGTGGTGATTCTGGACCTATTTTCAAGATCAGAAGGTGTTCATGTTCTGCATTGCCCCTTCCAATTGGGTCAACTGTCCTGTTTTTGCCCAAAATTGAACAAACTTCTAGTCACAATAATGAAAGTGATGCTAGTTATTGTTATAACAAGGAGTTCGATGAAGATGAAAGTATTCAAAGGATCCTTACAGATCCTTGTCCACCTATGGAAAATGATATCGTGACTTGTTTGAAATGTAGTTTGAAGGAAACAGATGATGTTCAGGACATCGACGGATCCCAACTTGAAGCTAGTTTAATGTTTGAAAAATCTGGAGATATGTTAATAGATGAAATTGGTGAAATTTCAGTGAAAGAGTATTCCTCGTCTGATGCATGGAGAATAATATCTCAGAAATTTGTTGATGCCTGCTCTGAGATAAGTAAAAGAAAAGGTACTCTGAAGTTTTACTGTAAGCATACAGGAAAGGAAATGGGGTCCGTAAACTGGGATATGATGGATGAAAAGTATAAAGAGACACTTACTCCATTAGCTAAATTTCGTGGCTTCTCTCCCCCCCTTCTTTTTGAGTATCAGGCTAATGAGCTGGAGTCTTGGGCTCAGGAACTGAAAAAATGGCTGGGACAGGATAGATTTGGTCTGGATGCAGAATTTGTACAAGAAATAATTGAAGAGCTTCCTGATGTCAAGGCCTGTTCACAATATGAATCTTTGAGGAAAAGAAGTTCTTATACAGGACCCTTAACAATCAGAAATGGTCTCCTGAAGGTTAGAACAACAGATGGTCTTGAATGTGAGGAAGATAAAGGATTGCATGGTTTATTTGGAAAGTCTAAACACCCCCAGTTGGTTGACGACCGCGGTCCTTCCACAGGGAAGCAATTGTGCTTGAGACTTCCTCCTGAACTTCTTGGTGATTTTCATCAGGTATTCATGTTTGTTAGTTGAGGAAATCAATATATATTCTTTTAGAGTAGAATTTCTTGTGTACAAGGATTTTAATTATATGTTTTATGCTAATATACTCAGGTGTGGGAGTTATTATGCCGCTTTGGTGAAGTAATGGGTTTGCAAGAAACATTTTCAGCCAATGAACTCGAAGAGGAGCTTATTAATCCCTGGTCTAAACACTCAAATATCTTTCATAAATTTGGCTGTGAAAGCCAAGGATCAGATATCCTGAGTTTATCTAGAATTGACAGTATGTGTGAAAAAAAGGTATCACCAAGTGGTGATTCCTATATGGAAAATTCTACTGAAAACCTAAATTCATTTTTACAGACGGAAACAGGAGAAATGTTGGAAGCTGACCAGGCTAGGCTTGCTTCTCTTAGCTACAGAAGATACTTTGGTGTGATATTGACAAAGGTTCACAACTCACTGTTAGGGGTGCTAATAGATGAGCTGCAATCAAAGGTTGCTGCACTTGTTGATCCAAATTTTGATTCTGGTGTGTCAAAATCTAAAAGGGGGAGGAAGAAAGATTTAGATAGTACAGCTCCTGCTAAAAAGGTTAAGCTCAGTGTGCTCCCAATTAATGAATTGACCTGGCCTGAGTTAGCTAGAAGATACATGTTGTCTTTCTTATCTATGGATGGGAATCTTGACTCAGCAGATATCACTGTCCGTGAGAGTGCTAAAGTGTTCCGTTGCTTACAAGGTGATGGCGGGGTGCTTTGTGGTTCACTTGCTGGGGTGGCTGGGATGGAAGCAGATGCACTCGTAAGTTTGGTTATTGACGTTTTTATTTTTTTCATAGACACTTTTCTTTTAGGGATATTGTTGACTCAAAATGATGAAAATATTTTAAAGTTTAGAAAAGCTTTCATAAGGAATTGTTGTATGTGTGTTTCTTAGTACTTTTCTTGTGATAATAATGTCAAGACCTGCTGGGGATATGGATTTTAAGCTTCACTGTTTATCCTTTGTGGGTATGCTTGATTGCACTGCTTATTTCATCTTATGCAGAATGATGCATTCCTTTTTGAACAAGGTTCAGGATGTTTGCTTCTGTGGTGCAGCTTTTGTTTTAATGCTCAAGTGTTTTTTCCCCTTGAGTTGAGCATATGTGATAAAATAATATAGATGTGTTGAAGCTTATTTGTTGCTGAAAGTGTTTGCAGGGAATTAGTTCTTGGTTCTAGTTAGTTTTTTGTTTCATACTGATCATTGCATTCATGGGTTCAGAAGAAGATAATGTCTTCAATTACCACTTAACTGGTTTGAACTGCAGTTGCTTGCAGAGGCTACAAAGCGAATTTTTGGTTCTTTGAATGCGAAAAGTGATGTTCTAACCATAGAGGATGAAGGGTCTGGTCAAAATGATGCTTGTGAAAAGAATTTTGTTGATGGTGGTGATATTCCAGAGTGGGCAAAGTTGCTGGAGCCTGTCAAAAAGCTGCCAACAAATGTTGGAACCAGAATCAGAAGGTGTGTCTATGATGCTTTGGATAAAGATCCTCCAGAGTGGGCAAAGAAAAAATTGGAACATTCAATCAGTAAGGAAGTTTATAAGGGCAATGCATCAGGACCAACAAAGGTAAAGCTCCTTTTTTTAAAAAAAAAACAATTGTATTGTGTGGGGTGAGGTGGTCACATAGGCCTAAATGCTGCTGGAGTGGAGACAGAACAGGCCACATCATATTTATGTGATTTAAATATGTAAGCTTTTCTAATGCAGGGCAGCAGGTGTCTGTGCCATATATAATGATTTTGTTGTGCTGTGATGTCTTGCGTCTTTATATCTTAGGAATTTCTTATTTTGACTATTCTAACCTGCCCTTTAGACCTGCGCTTTCAAATATGGAAAACTAACACCATGTTTGGATTGAGGGGAGTGGAAGGGGAAACTCTTTTCTCATTTGGATAAAGTTTTAGTTAGAATAAAGGGAGGAGCACTTTACACTTCTGACGTTCCCTTAAATATCTTCCTCTGCATATCTATTTTATTGTGCATTTCAGTTTTTATTAGAAGTGAATGAAATTTAAGCAGGAGAAGTATTGTTAGTGTTGAGTATTATAGAATGCTTAGAAAAGAAATTATATAATCTCTGCGCTTTGTTCCCTCTGTGTATTGACTGCCATCTCTTTTATCTTTGTATATTATACTGTAATGTTTCTCTTTTCTAGTTGTTTTTTCTTTCCGAGTTTGTGAAATGTAGTAGCAAACATGATTCTGAAGAACTATATTTTTGATTGAACACAGAGAGCTGTTCTTTCGGTCCTAGCAGATATTCAGAAAGAATGTTCGACACAAAAATCTGAGAAAAAAACTAGTAAAAAGAAGACCGTCTTATCTGTATCTGATATTATCATGAAACAATGTCGCATCATATTACGTCGTGCTGCTGCTGCTGATGATTCAAAGGTCTTCTGCAACTTGTTGGGAAGAAAGCTAATGAATTCCAGTGATAATGATGATGAAGGACTCCTTGGATCTCCTGCCATGGTGTCTCGTCCTCTAGATTTTAGGACTATTGATTTGAGATTGTCAGTCGGGGCCTATGGTGGTTCACACGAAGCTTTTCTTGAGGATGTTCGTGAGGTCTGTCCATTTAATTTGTTCCCTATTGTTTAATTGTTTTCTGGTTGTCACTTCTCTAAATCTTTTGTTTCATCTGACTTGACCCTTGCATGGTTTTTATGCATAAAACTTTCCTTTTTCCTTATCCTGCTACTTGTTCCTTCCACAGCATTTTTTGATGCAACGTTTAGTAAAAGATTGAAGGTTTTAGATTGTTGTGCATCAATGAATATATGTACTTGTGTTTTGCATGAGTGAAAACTGAAAAATCTCTTAACTGTGGCTTTTGAGTTTATTTTCTGCCTTTTTCCATGGGTTTATATCTTGAGAAAGAAGAATAAACCTTAGGAGTTTAGGACGCTCAACTATTGTTTTCACAATGCTGTTGTTGGTTGCTCTGGTGCCTGGTTTGTCTTTTCTTTTGATTGTCAGCCCTGAATTTTTCTTGAGTCATAGTCTCAATGCTTTGATGCATGCCACTTTTGCAGCTGTTGTCTGCTTATTTATTTTTTTTGGGACTTCATTACTAAGATTATCCTTTGTTCCTCTTGGTTTCAGCATATCTTTTCTGAACTTTTAACCATGTGTTATGTATTAGATATTGGCTGCCTTTCTCAGTTTTGTTGTACTGTGTGGATGTTATAGTTTGATTATTGTTTCTTTTGCATGGCAGTTATGGAGTAATGTTCGTTCTGCTTTTAGTGATCAGCCTGATTTAGTTGAATTGGCCGAGTCTCTATCCCAAAACTTTGAGTACTTGTATGAAGAGGAGGTTCGTTAGTTCCTATCTTTTTCACACTATTTCTTTGGAAGTAAAGTTCTTTTATCAGTAATTGGCCAGTAAGTGCCTGAATATTTTTGTTCTATGAATTATGCCACTCATGGGTGAAACTTCCATAAATGATGATGATGAACTGATATTTTCTTCATTTTTATGGATAACATTATGTTTTTAGTTATATCCTTTTAAATTAAAGTAAATCTTTCTTTCAATTAAATCACATGTATAAAATTAAACTATATCAGTCATATTATTCTAAATTTTGAAGTTTAGCTATAAAATTAAGCTCACAGTAGCACAATAAACAAATGATTAGGGTGTCTGTCATTTACATTAACATTTCCATTCAAATTAGTATAGCCCGGACACCGAAGAAATTGTGTTCTGAGGTTTTATTTGCATGTTTTTTCTGACTTGCATAAAAGGGTTGTTCACACTAGGAGTTCAGGAATTTGATAACCAGTTGGTTATGATCTTGAAGAATTATAGCTAGATTTGTCGTCGTCTATATTCTTAAAATAAATGAAGGTTTGAAATATTTTTGTCCATTTATTTCATTAGTTAGTTAACAACAGCCATTTGGCGCCTGATATCAATAATAAATAATTTGCCACCTGATATCAAGTATAAATAATTTGCCATGTATTTTAGTTCTCTGTGGCCATTCCCCCTTCCATTCCACTTGTTTTGCATCTAGACCCAGTTTTGTAGTATGTTAACTATTCATTTATTTATTCTTTTTGCAGGTACTTACCCTAGTTCAGAAATTGGTGGAATATGCTAAATTGGAATGCTTGAATTCTGAGATGAAGACGGAAATAAATAACATGCTTGCTTCAACAAGTGATATACCTAAAGCGCCTTGGGATGAGGGAGTTTGCAAAGTATGTGGTATCGACAAAGATGATGATAGTGTTCTTTTGTGCGACACTTGTGATGCCGAGTATCATACATATTGCTTGAATCCTCCACTGGCAAGGATTCCTGACGGGAACTGGTATTGCCCTGATTGTGTTAGCAAACGTATGGTTCAAGATTCATTGCAACCTTCACTTGTTATCGTCCAAAAGAGAGGTAAAAAGTATCAGGGAGAGGTTACCCGTGGTTACTTGGAAGCACTTGCACATTTAGCATCTGTGATGAAAGAAAAAGAGTATTGGCAGTTTAGTGTGGATGAGGTTTGTCTATGAACTTTGCTTGGTTTGCATATTTTTAGTCTTATACTTTGGCTAACCTTAGTATTGTATGAGAAAATGTTGATTCTTTTGATTGCTGTTGACTGCGACTCACTGAACTTTGCTTATTGTTTTCCTTTTACTACATCTCATGATAAACAACAGCTATCATGTTCGTGCTAGTGTACATATCCTTGAATGTAAATGCATTTATGGTAGCTTTTTATATATAATTGTTGTAATGGTGATATATTGCACTCCTTGCTTCCTCTGGAATCACTTATAATTTAACTTGTCAATGTCATTTACTATCCCGTTGTTAGTGTGCACTTATCCCCTACATTTGTTGGGTCTGTTACTTGGAATTTGGCCTCTACTTTTGTTTAGGCTTGGAATTTACTAAAGCTTCCATCATATCCTGCATTTTACTAGTATTTGTATCTTGTGGTTCTGTTCAGTAATGAAAGAAGTTACTTTTGTGTGTTTATGTTAGTAAGATAAAATCCTTGTATCTTCTTACTAGACCATGTTAATGTTAGCCGTACTTTTAATAGATGAAATATAGTATAGGAAAAGGAAATGTTATTAAGTGAATATGGGAAGATGCTTAAGAAAAAAAATGGTGAGTAATTGATAGTATCTTTTCTTCTTTGAAGGTTAAGAATTGCCATGTCATAAACAAAATTGCCTTTTGCTCCTTACTCTTCCCAGGAGAAATTGTTCTTTCTGAAATGATTTTCGGGTTAACTAATTTACATGCTGCTGTCTTTTGTAACAAAAGGGCATTGCACTGATAGCAAATGGCTTCAATGATGTAGGAAAGTAGGATGTCTTATGCAAACATAAGTTTTTGGTTCTTTTGCATAATGTATAGTAATTTTGAGCTCTCCGTTTTTTTTCATAAATTAATGACATTTATATTGTGGTGCAGAGAGCCTTCTTACTCAAGTTTTTGTGTGATGAACTACTTAACTCAACACTTATCCGTCAACATCTTGAACGTTGTGCTGAAACAACATTTGAGTTGCATCAGAAATTACGTTCTGCATATGCAGAATGGAAAAATCTTAAATCTAAGGAAGACTTAGTTGATGGAAAAGCTGCAAAGTTAGATACAAGCATGATTAGTGCAGTTGGAGATGGTGTAAAGGAAGGTGGTGATCGGCTTCCATCAGATGGTGAGGTGGATGCTGACCTTAATGGTGCAAATAAATATGCATCTGGTACTCATACAGAGAAAAGTTTTACCAGTAACGGCCAATGCAATCCAATTGATATTGAGTCTCAGTTTAAGGGTGAAGAAGCCATTGTGGTTGTGAGCAAAGTATTGCCTGAAAAAAGCGAGAAATCCCTTAGAACAAGTGTGTTGACTCTATCAAATCCTTTGCCCAAAGAAATTGATGACTCGAGGAAAGAAACAAATTGCCATGGTATGGTGGACGAGTCTAAGGGAATGGACGTGGCTTCTCCATCTTCTCCTTCAGATTGTGATGGTCAGTTCCAGTCATCTGATGCGACAAGCCTGTATGCAGCTATGCAAGTTCCATCTGTTGCTGAGAACGAGTCACAATCTCACCACCTTGAGTTGAATACTATCAAGAGTGATATTCAACATCTTCAGGACTTAGTTACAAGCTTAGAATCACAGCTTTTGAAGTTATCTATTCGGAAGGAGTTTTTGGGAAGTGATTCTTCTGGCCGTCTGTACTGGATTTCAGCCATGCCAGGTGGATATCCTAAGATTATTGTTGATGGAAGTTTGGTATTGCATAAGAGGAGAGATTTTCTGGGCAATGAGGTACGGAGGCATTGCACTTCAGTTAACTGGAATTTTACCTCTGCCACCACAGATACTGGTATTAAAGCACAGTGTTCAAAGGCTTCCTGTTCGTTTGTGTATAATGCTAAAGATGCACTTTTGGTTGGTTCACCATGGGTTACATATCAGTCAAATGCTGAAATTGAAGATCTTATTAATTGGTTGAATGATAATGACCCAAAAGAAAAGGAGCTGAAAGAGGCTATTTGCCAGAAGCTAAAATTCCAGAATTATCAAAAAACGAGAAAACAAGCTCAAGAAGAGTGCCAAACTGCCTTTTCATTGTCTGATGGTTCTGATAAAGTTGCGATTCCCAGTTTTCTTGTTACCAAAGCAGCAATGTTGCTGGAGAAGAAGTTTGGTCCGTGCTTCGAGTCAGAAATAGCTGACTCTGTGAAGAAGCAAGGTAAAAAGGAAAAGGTGATCATTGAAGATAAAATGTACAGGTGTAAATGCTTAGAGCCTGTTTGGCCCTCCAGAAATCATTGCATCTCTTGCCACAGAACATTTTTTACTGATGTTGGTTTCGAGGATCATAATGATGGTAAATGCACACTGGATCCACCTGATAAGGGTAAGTCAGTTGGTGATTCTTTGAAAAGAAAAGGGAATATGAAATCTGATGGTAACTCGGGTGGCTGTACTGTGGACATGGAAATTGACGAAAAATCCAAAGGTTTTCAAAATGACGGAGTAGTTTGTCCTTATGACTTTGAAGAGATCAGTACCCAATTTGTGACTAGAGATTCTAATGAAGAATTGGTGCGGGAAATTGGTCTTATCGGTTCAGATGGGGTTCCTTCATTTGTTTCATCTGTTCCACAATTTGTCGGTGACCCTACCCTAATACCTGTTCCTCACCAAGAAATAGAGGATTTAGGGGATGATGCGAAGGCTGCTAAGAGGCCTGTATTATCACAAGGAAACTGGAGTATGGTCAACGGAGTCAAAGAAGGCTTTTCTGATGGTTCTTTCAAAAGGTCTGTTGTAAATGAGATTAAAGTGCAAAAAAACAAAAGACCAGCTTTGAGATGCTCGGAACAAAGGGATAAAATCTCTCCTGCAGATAACTATTCTCCTGAACTGGGTAATGGTCACTGCTGTGTAGTCCCCCAGTCTTCATTAAGGCCCTTAGTTGGTAAGGTTTCACAGATTATGCGGCAACTAAAGATTAATTTACTTGACATGGATGCTGCACTCTCTGAAGAAGCTTTGAGACCATCAAAGGCAAGCATAGAAAGGAGGTGGGCCTGGCGTTCATTTGTTAAATCTGCAGAAACAATATATGAGGTTTGTCGCAATCCCTTTCGGCTTTTGGATGGTAATTATTATTTTTGTAAATTGTAACCATAATTCATTATTGGCCTCATTTCATTTCGCGTATCTTAAAGTGGTTGCGCTATTTATTAAAAAATCAAAAAATAAAATGGTAGCACTAATTTTCTTGTTCTTTAATGAGCATCTTATATATGGTTGGTTGGGTTTGTGTACGGCAGGTTGTGTCATTAACTTTTTATCTGATGTAATGTTAGTTTCTCTCAATTGACATTTTCACACTGATGTTTCTAGTTAAATATACTCATGGCCCACTAATTTCACGATGCATGTCCTGAATAAATGGTTCCTTGGATTGAGATTTGCTTAGATATAGAAGTTAAAGTGTTTCTTTGAAATTCAGTTTTGATTTGGTGGAATCAGATATAATATTCTCATCTTTTCAGATGATCCAAGCAACAATTGCATTTGAGGACATGATTAAGACTGATAACTTGAGGAAGGAGTGGTGGTATTGGTCATCTCTATCTGCAGCTGCAAAAGTTTCAACCATGTCTTCTCTTGCCCTACGTATATACTCCTTCGATGCCATTATTGTTTATGAAAAGTCATCTGAGTTCCAGTCAATTGACAATTTGAAGCCTAGCAGCATCACTAGATCAAAGCTGCTCTCCAAGTTGGATCTACCGGAGAAGTGCAAGGTGAGCCGGAAGACTAGTAAGAAAAGGAAGGAACCAGAAGGCTGATCTTTGTGAAATAGGAGTTTCAAATCCAAGAGGATCTTATTTCAATTAAACTTGATCCCCATGGCAAGGGAAACTGGTTGCAGAAATATGTCAGAAAGGATATCAGAGTCCTAGAATCAGAACCAAAGTGTTGGTTTGGGTTTGCGTTGACTGTTTGGAGCTAGTGTTCCGGTGTCAGTGCCCCGTATATATATTGATAAGGCTAACATGCTAATTTGGATGCTTTGATTCGGAACCAGATTCCATGGAAGCACCTATGGTGTTGGAAGCTCCAGAGGACCAATTGACTAGTGAGAATATGCATCCAATTTTGGACTGATTTCTGCTGCATCTTTTTGGTTTCTTTCCTGGAAAGAGAGATTATATACATATACAGCATGAATTAGTGTAAAAAGAAAAAGAAAAATATGGTTGAAGTAGAGCAGGTGTAGATGATATTTCATTCTTTATACCTCTCTTTCTCGCCCTCTGGTACCCTTTTGTTTTTCATCTGGTATTCGATGCACCAGAGTTCCTTCGAAGAATGAAAAATTCATGTGTTTTCTTTCCATCTTTCTATGTTCAGTTTTTTATATCTTTTGAGCTTTATAAAGCCGGCACAATTTCTGACTGACTGTTGGTGCTATTCGAATATTTGCCCAAACATCATTTCATACTCATAAATGCTGTACATTATTGGCTAACTGTTTCCGTTGTATTTTGACTCCTTATCTGATTGCTAACTTCCCTGAAATATGATTTTGTCTTATCAAAGCCGCTTTCATAGCCTTGCCCGTCTAGGAACATTGGTGGATCATGGAGTCGAGTGCTTTCAGGAAACATCGCTTTGCAAATGAGGTAATTTCTTGTTCCACCTAGTTTATTTTTGTTCAAATTATTTGGCTGTTCGGAATTTCTGAGCTTTGATTGACACGTAATTTCCGCTACTATCATCCTAGTTATATTCTTCTTTTTGCTTTCCTCTTAGCTCCTTTCTTCACTGCTTTTTGGGCAAAAATGGTAGGGGGTGGGGTTTTTGGTTGTGTTATGATAGATGATGTTAACTTCCATACATATCTGGATTTGGTCTTCAAAAGTAATTTTAAGGGCTGCTGTGAGATGAAGTTGAAAATGACCCCTTTAGGGGTTCGGTTCGGGTCTGATGAATTTGATAACTCGATCGATATTCACTCATTCCAGTTCTGTGGTGTTTTCTATTCCAATACATAAAACGCTGGAATGTAGTAGTAACAAAATATATTTGTTTGGAAATGGATTGGGGCAGTACAGTTGATTCTCTATGCACTTCAGGTACTGTAACTCTCCGGTTGCTGCATCAATCGTTTGTCGAGTATTTTAATGGCATAAAAAACAACAGAATTAGCGAATGAAATGAAAGCAAGGAACAAAACAACAGCGTGGAGATATCAACTGTGGATAATGGGATACAAAAGCAAAGCAAGGGCAAGAGCAAGACATCAAAAATGCATATAGCCCAACATCAGAACCCAGCACAATTCCTGCACTGCTGTAAAGTGATAAAGTAGCAGTATTTTTAATTGGTCAATATAATCTTAATCATTTTTCTTTTAACTTTTGTGTTTTTCTCTTGTATAATTAATAAAATATAACATTTGGTCATTTTTATTTTTATTTAATAAAAAATGATTACTGATCAAATTTAATTTTATTTAATTAAAATGTTATTACTGAGGGATAATAATCGTTAGATCTTTAATAGTTAACTAATAGTTAACGTGACATAATGTATATATAAAATTAAAAGTGATAAACTACATAAATAATCGTTTGAGTAAGTTTTTGTTTTTCTCATTGAAATTTCAAAAGTAAATTGATCGCTAAAACATAAAAAAAATTCTAATTTCTATTTTTTTAAACATTTTACCACTTTCACTATATTCACATGAACTACCCTTTACGTGACACTAACTCAAGATGACTTGTTAGCCGTATCAATCCTTCATGAACCACCATCTTTATTCTTTTCTTTTGTAGAGAATTTTTATTAAAAAATATTTTTGAAACTAAATGAGATATAAGTGTATATAATTTAATATTATAGTTTTAATTTCTTTCATTTTTCTTGAACTTTTAAGTTTGTAATTGTACGTCTGACACTTCTATGAGATTTATGCAAGCGAATATAGTCTGATTTGTTGAAAACCCCTTCTGAGAAAATTATTGTGATGAAATATTTTTTTAACATGAGATTCCAAAATTTTATTATGGAGACAATCATTTTTATTATATTTTTACATAATATGTGTAAATCGTTTGAGATTTTTAGTTAGATTATAAAACTTTAATATTGTTTACTTTTTCAATTATGTTTTACTTAAATCATATATATATATATATATATATATATATATATTGATTTTTCATTTAATTTCAAAAATATTTTTAATAAAAAATCTATACAAAAAGATAGAGTGGTGGTTTGTGAAGGGTTGATGCTACCAATGAGTTATATTGGGTTGGTGTTTTGTGAATGGTGGTTCATGTGAATATAATGGAGGTGGTGAGATGTTTGGAAAAAAAAAATAGAAATTAGAAAACTTTTGATGTTTTAGTGACCAATTTATTACTTTTGAAATTTCAGTTGGAAAAATGAAAATTTACACAAACATTATTGACCATTTGTATAGTTTATCCTTTTAATTTTATATATTGATTGAGCCACATCAATGATACGTTAAAGATCTAACGGCAACTAACTTTCAACGACCATATTTTAATTAAATAAAAATAAAAATAACTAAATATTATGTTTTATGAAGTCATTGAATATATATATATATATACAAAATTTAAACAAAATCAACCATGTTATTTAATCTTTTTAATTCTTTACTTTTTCTTAAGAACACAAAACTTTATGGCTGAGCTGTGATACTTAGGGTTGTTTGTTTTACGAAAAACGTTTTTCGAAAAATGTTTTTTTTATTTTTCGGTGTTTGGTCCATGGAAAACAAGTTAGTCAATGTAAAACATTTTCTTAGTCAACAAAATTCTATTTTCTTTGGAAAATGACTTGCTGCCTAATTTTTCATAAGTTATTTTTCGAACTTTTCACTTAAAAACATAAATACTCAAAATAATATTATTTTTATGTATTTAATGTTGATAAAATATTTTTAATATAGTTTTAATAAAAATATTAATTATTAAAATATTAAAAACATATTTTAATATTATAATAATATACTTAGTTATATTATAATAATATATGATATTATATTCTTATTTTAATAATATAAAATAAAGTATAAATAAATTTATATTATTTATTAATTTCATAAAAGAAATATTGTTTAATTATTAATAATGAATAATATTATTTATATATTTAATATTAATATAATAATCTAGTAATATTTTAATAAACATACTTCAAATGTGTTTATTAATAATTTAAAAAATATAATATAATATTTTTATTTCAATAGAATATACTAAATTTAATATTTTTATTTATAAATTTGTAGAAATAATATTTTAATAATAACGTTGACATAAATAATATTGAATAAATTATTATAATATTATAAAAATAATAATATTATGTTTTTTATAATAAATAATATCTTTTACTATATTTGATATATATAATAAATATTTTTTAAAAAAATTATCAATTAACAAAAAATGATTTACACATCTTTCAAATACTGTAAAATATTTTTAAAAAAATGTAATTCCCTTTGCGGAAAACATTTTCGTCATTTTCCAAAAAATGATTACTAAATTCAGAATCAAAAAGAATGAAACCCATACTTGTGATAGTAATAAAATTAAAAAGGATAATTCATATTAGATCTGATGAACCAAGAATCCTAGTATCAAAGCCAAACTTAACATCACAAACAATACCCTTTGGTTCATTTAGTTCACTAGATATAAGACTATTTTGAGTCGTTTGGTTCGCCGAATATAAGATTATTGTTGGGAATAAGATTACTGAAATGTTACATTACTTAACATATTACTAGGAATGTAAGATTATAATGTTTGGTTGATGAAATATAATATAAGAAAAATATATGTTTTGTTAAATTGTCATTGATATGTATTATTTTAACAAGTTAAATTCTTAATATTAGAGTCAAAATATATATACAGAAGTTCATAGAAAAATACAATTTTATATTCTCTAATTTATATATATTCAATAAAATGTGTAAGTATGTGTTAATTTTTAAGATATTAAGAGATGTACATACTTATACCGGTGTAAGTATATGTTAATTGCTACATTTTTTATTCATATTACATGTATGAATTGTACAACTAAATATTATATCAAATTATATAACAAGAATAATAGAAAACATAAAAATAATATTAAAAACTTTTTATGAAAATTAATCTTAAGAAAAATAAATGTAATAAAATGCATATAAAAATAAAACTTGAATCAAGCACATACATAATAAATACTAAAACTAAAATAGAAATTTAATATTTTTACTTTTTATTATATGCATTGTATTATTTTATAATAAGTATTAAAAAATTTAGAACCACAATAAAAAAATAAAAGAAATAAATTCAAGCTTGACTCGTAATTTTATGAATTGAGTCAAGCAAGGTATAACTCGACTCATTAAATATGTAAACCTTAAAAGATTATTTCGTTAAAAAAAATCTAAACAATGATTACTAATTTGCTAATAAATAAGAAAGATTGATAAATTATTAAATATCATAATTATTATTAATTTACTAGTTTATTAGTTTGATATTTTTTATGGATTGTTATTTTAGAGTTTAGATTTTTAATTGCTTCATATAATATTTGATAATTTTTTAGTTAAATTTATTAATTTATGTTTATATTAAGCTCTATATAAAAAAGCAAGTAAAATTTCTGGTGAGATTAACGAGCAACAAGTCGAGCAATAATTTTTTCTAACGAGTACAAGTCGAGCAAAATTTTAACGAGTTTAATGAGCAATAAATTTTTTTAATGAGCACGATTCGAGCATTATCCAATTCTCGACCGAATCGCTCCATAAGCACCCCTAAGCAACACTCTAAAATAGGTCACGAACCAAGCGACTAAGTGGTAAAAGAATTGTTGTAATTCCTTGATGTCAAATGGTTGAAAGTTATCTTTGAATATATATTGTCCCGTACTTACTGTAACATCCCAATTACCGGGTAAGTGACCAAATTGTAAGAACTTATAAATTCAATGGTTGAATTAGAATAAAGTGATAAGTTTAGTGATTTATGGAGGAATTTTGTGTGTTGGTTATTATAGCAAATATAAATGTTTAACAAGGGCAAAATGGTAATTTGTAGGGGAATGATATTTTAGAATAAGTATGGGGTAAAGAGAGAAGAGTTGAACTTTTTCATTCTCTTCTTCTTCTCACCGTGGATATCAGTGGTAAAGGTAAAGATCTAAATTTGTGAGTGTTACTTTGATTTTTGGTTGGGTAATGGAAGTTGGGATCTTATATAAGCTAAAGGAAAGTTTATATGACATTAAAACAACAAGATACATGTTTTGGAGATAGATTTGTAAAATGGGTTTTTAGAG